TTGTGTAATTGCACAGCAGTAACAAGGAATGAACTATTAATATTTTCAACAATATAGATGAAATTCAAATTTTTTTTTAATTATTTATGCATACAGAACTAGGGTAAGGTCAGAGGTGCAGGGGTGGTCAGAGGATTCACCAGAGAGAGTGGGGAGCAGAACAGGCTGACTGATGAAGTACACTGCTGAGGGGAGCAGCAGGCAGGTCAGGAGAGGTCTGCAGCGCCATGTGGTCACCTCCTGGGCAGGGATCAGACTCATGCTGAAGTGGCTTTAGCTTCTTAGTGTCGTGCTTTAACCCTCTGCGCCACCAGGGAGGGCCCTCAAATCATTTCTTTGCGTTAAAATGATTTAAAAGACACTCCCCCCTCCCTCTCCTAAAACAAAGAATACATACTATATGATTCTAGCTATATAAAATTTTACAAAATGCAAACTGATCTATAGTGACAGGCATATCAGTTCTTGCTTGTAAGGAGAGGGTGGGTCAGAGAGAGGGGTGGGAGAGATTAAAAGGGGCATGGGATCTGGGGTATGATGTCTGTGCTCATTAGTTTCACTGTGGCCATGGTTTCACAGACATAAACATATGTTAAAATTTACCCGAATTGCACACAATAAAGCTGTAAAGGCATATAATCACACAGTGATCTTAGGCAACTTCCAACAAACTCCCAACTGACGTTGTTTTTCATGATTCCTCTATGACCCCTACACTAAACGAGGAAATCTCTTCTTCATTAGCCCAAGCAAATGCCTTTTTGTTCTCAGAAGTTAGTAATTCTTAGGGGCCTTCTTGGTGGCACAAGGAGTTAAGCCTCAACACTATGAAGCTATTGTCAGCCACTCTGGCACAAGTTCAATCCCTAGTCAGGTCCAACAGACCTTTCCTGCTTCCCACAGCAGTGTGTTTCAGTAGATCTGCCTGTCTGCACCCCACTCTGTCTCTGGTGAATCCTCTCACTACCACCCCCGGCACCTCTGGCCCACACCCCAACTCTTACATGCACAAGTAAATAAATCTTAAAAAAAAGAAGAAGAGGAAGGTATCAATTATGATTTTTTTTTTCAACTGAAAATACAAGGAGAAAGTTCTAAGTAGCCCTCTCTATGATTATAGAGAGTTCTTCACTCCTCTTCCCTCAATTTAACCTTAGTCATCCATTGTCACTAAAAATAACTTCTGGGGACATTTTGTGGGGGTGGAGTGGGGAATGGGATCAAAAACGGGGTGGGGGAAGGGAAATGCACGGGATTATGGTGATGGCACATGGGTGACTTGGTGATGGGAAACCCGCGGGGATTACAATTGAGATGGGAAAAAAATGTACAAAATGATGTAAAAATAAACTTTTGTAAAAAATAAAATCAATCAATAAAAAATAACTTCTGGGGCCCTCCCTGGTGGCGCAGCAGGTTAAAGCACAGCACTAAGAAGCTTAAGCCACTTCTGCATGAGTTTGATCCCTGCCTGCCCTGGAGGAGATCCACAGGGTGTGGCAGACCTCTCCTGACCCGCCCGCTGCTCCCCTCAGCAGTGTACTTCCTCTATCTGCCTGTTCTGCTCCCCATTCTGTCTCTGGTGAATCCTCTCACCCTCCGCATCTCTGGCCTGTACCCCAGTTCTGTATGAATAAATAAATCTTTAAAAAATAATAACTTCTGGGCCCTCCCTGGTGGCGCAATGAGTTAAATCTCAGCACTATGAAAGTGTCTGCAGCCACTGCAGCACGAGTTCCATCGCCCACCAGGGAGGTGACCCACATGGTGCAGCAGACCTCTCCAGTCTTACCTGCTGCTCCCCTCAGCAGTGTATTTCAGTACATCTGCCTGTTCTGCTCCCCACTCCATCTCTAGTGAACCCTCTCATCCCCCACATCTCTGGCCTGTACCCCAATACTTGTATGCATAAATCAATAAATCTTTTTAAAAATATGACTTCTAAGAGCTGACTTTTAGAACTCAAAAAGGAAAGAAGAAAACAAAATTCTTTTCTCGGGCCCTCCCTGGTGGTGCAGCAGGTTAAAGCACAGCACTAAGAAGCTAAAACCACTTCCGCATGAGTTCGATCCCTTGCCTGCCTCGGAGGTGACCACATGGCGCGGCAGACCTCTCCTGACGCACCCGCTGCTCCCCTCAGCAGTGTTCTTCATCAGTCAGCCTGTTCTGCTCCCCACTCTGTCTCTGGTAAATCCTCTCACTGCACCTCTGGCCTATCCTCCAGTTCTGTATGCATAAATAAATAAAATCATTTTTAAAAAATCTTTTCTCAGCAACTTCCACTCTTGTGATATAAATTAAACCATAGATTGAAAGAGGTGACTGATTCTTTTGGTGTTGTTAATAAAAAGAGCTATAATTGTGAAAGAAGGATCATTTTTCTCTTTTGAGTGACATTCTCACCCAAAATCAGTTTGATAAAAGGACTAAACAAACAGATACCCAGAGATAGAGACATGGATTGCTTATGTAGGAGTATATTTTTACCCTGCTTCAAACTATAACCACCAAATGAACTTGACCAATTTAAAGTTTCATAATTTCTAGCCACCAGTTTATCTTCCTGAAACTTTATATATTAAATAAATGTGGTGAACATGTATGTGTTAAGCTGAATCATTACTTTCAAATTCATTTATCTTAAAAAATAAACTTGAGGGATCTTATGAGTTCTGCCTTTACAAGTTTTGTGATATTAGGCAATACCTTAACTTCCCCAAGCTTCAACTTCCTCCTGTAAAATAGTTGACCTTAAAGACTGACCTGAAGATTATATAAAATGAAAAAGCCGTAGACACTAGTACATAGAAAGACTCAAGAATGCTTCATGAAATTTGAATTAAGTATCTTTTGAGGTGTGCTTTCAGAATCCCTTATCCCTTCTGACAAGCCCTCATTTGGCTATTACTCAATACCATCGCTTTAAGATTATTCTTCTCTCTCTCACCTTCTGTCACACTAATAATCTGAATTCATAAACAGGTAGGAACACATTAAGGGAGTTTGCTACTTAAAACCAAACAATAGCATACATGAACACTTAAAATGTATCAAACATTGTTATATGTACTTTTTGTTGATTTGTTATTTAATCGTCACAATAGTACTACAAGGTTCATATTATCATTAACCCCATTTTACAGGTGAAGAAAAAAATGAGGCTAGCTAAAGACCTTTTCCCAAGGTTACCAGTTAATAAGAGGCATGGAGAGGGCAGAGGGAGGAGTGTGACCAAGGATTTAAACCCAGGCAGCCTGATGGTAGAGTATGTATACTACAAAGTGTTTTTTTAATGTATTCTTAAACACTTTTGTTAAACAGATCATCACAGACTTACCTACTGGGTAACTTTCGATAATGAGCTTCTTAAAGGGGACTTCAGAAACATTAGGTCATCACTTAATGACCTAGCTAGGTGTGTGTGTGTGTGTGTGTGTGTGTGTGTGTGTGTGTGTGTGTGTGTT